GGGCTTTTTTTTTTGGGGGGGGGGGGGGATTTTGCATCTAGGACTCTGGCTGCTGTTTCTGAGGGTTGTTTGGTTTATTTTGATTCTTGTTTCGAGCACGATCATAGTTTTCCTTTGGAATCGACTCTGATTTAGTAGCTGAAACTCTCTACGGGATGATTGATTGATGAGTGCGTTATGTTGTGGTAACCATTACAGCGAGGATGCTGCAAAGGAGGCACTGATTTACAGCTACAAGGAGGCTGCTTCTGGATTCTCTGCTAAGCTCACACCTGAGCAAGTCACCGAGATCTCCAGTAAGTTCTTCTGTCATATGTTTCTATCTATTTGAATATTGATGACAGCTTTCCTGAGTTCTTCACTGCGTAAATCGCCCCAAACCATACATATTAGGGCATAGAATTGCACGAGGGGGATAACAACTTAGTAGAATATCATATTACTCCGATATCCATCAGTTTCAGCGCATTCGAAGCAGAGAAAATCTGCAAATCTCTCTGTATTATGCATCAGAATGGCATGAAGTTAGCATCTTTGGCATGTTTTTCTCGGAATGATGTGTGCTTATGGATGTTTTCCGGGCAATTGGGTGTTGCAGAACAGCCAGGGGTTCTTCAGGTTGTGCCAAGCCAGACCTACCGTCTCCATGCTGGGGGAGGCATGTCATTGAACTGATTAATATTGTCTATGGAACTGCTTATGCATGTCTCCTTCATAAGCTGGTCTGTCTTAATGATGTTGTGACTTTCTACTCTAAATAAATGTGCCCATGTTGGTTTGACGAATTTATTTACTACCGTGATTGATTTTAAGTATCTGGGTTTTAATTTCTTTCACTTGTGCTTGCAACAGTAAACAATTGCATAATGTGGTTTATTATCATCATCATCATCATCATCATCATCATCATCATCATCATCATCATCATCATCATCTCTTAATTTTCCGTGAACCGATTGTTAGTAGTAGGAGAAAATATTGGTGAACTCAAACAGGGATTTTATGTGATTAATTGTTTTTTATTTGGTGATATTTTCTAATATATCGAACAAGAAGACAAAAACACAAGTCATGATGGTATGTTATGTATTCCACCTTTGAGAAATTCACAGAGAATTTCTATGGATTAGAGACAAAGCCCTATCATACATATATAAATCGCTGTGACTGTTATTTCCAGATCAAACAATTAATTCATTGTCATGTAAAAAAACTGCATAATCAAATAAGAATATCTTTATTACGAGTCAGGGAAGCATCCAAGAACGTGAGTATTAGCTTCGAGCTCGTTGTAGTTTTGGTCAAAGGACTGTGACTCAAACGAAGACAGAAGAAGGTTAGAGTCGCTCGTGACTTGCGTTGCAAGGAAACCATCTAGGGTTTTCCAATCAACGCCATTGAAGCTCTTCTCATCATCTTGCTCAAAGCCGTTGGTGTGATCCTTGGTCGTCGTCCCAAGACTATGTGACGACAAACTCGGACTATCGAGCTGTGGGATCTCGACGTTGCCGTGCTGATGATGCATTGGTGAGCACATATTAGGTTGGTAGAGATTGCTGTTCATGAGCATCTGGTTCATATTTTGACTCGACGACAGAATATCCGAGTTCATCGTTGTTGTCGGGAGGTGGTAGTGATGGTTCGGCCATGGCTCATACCCATGTGGCCTTTGGTTTGGAGTTGGCTTCCTGAAAGCTCGACATACCACCCATCCTTCCTCCTGTATATATAACCCATAACCATACATATATAATCTTAGGAACCGTAAGACATCGGTTTGACGGTTAAAACATTCAATTGGTTTCTTTAAAGCACTTGGTCTTTCTCTAATATCTAGCCATTTGCAGTAATACACAATAAGAAAACGTAGTTTGATAGGTATATATATGGACCTGAGGAGGAGCGTGCTCAGAGTTTTGAAGGCGGTATTCGTGTATGATCCAATCGGTTTTCCGGCCATTAGGAGCTCGGCCTTTGTAGAAGACAAGGGTCTTCCTCATTCCTATGATTCTGTTCTCGGACAGTACGGCCTTGTCCCTGCCGGTGGCTTTCCAGAATCCGGCCGCCGTCGCTCTGTTTGTCCTCGTCCCTGTCGGGTACTTCCTGTCCTTGTGGCTGAAGAAGTACCACTCGTTTTGCTCCTCGTACCCTAATTTGCACCTCGCTGAAATGAAAATTAATGTTAGATCTAATCACTGTTGATGGATTACGTTTCCGATGTAAATATATCATGCAACCTAAGCTTGACACTGCATTAAATTTGGTGGTTAGTGATTGTATACTTAACATATATATATTAAATTTGGAAGTTAGTGATTGTATACTTAACACACACACACACACACATATATATATATATATATATGGAATTCTTCAGCGTTGACACGTCGTTAGTTTTGTGATAATAAAGAAGAAAAAATCGAGGTTTAGTTTTCGATGTTGGGTTCCACTATGTATCCAATTCTACTATTCTCGCTTGAAAAAATTTAATTTCAAACGCCATAATGATGCATAAACATTACATTTGCATATTCTTTTCACACTTAGGATTACAAAGTCAAAGAAAGCGGGTTTTCTATTGAAGAATATCATACCAAATTCCTCGCATACAATTGGTTATCCATATACATATAGATCCATGCAAGATCATGAGTAATGATTGTAATATATGCATGCACGTTAATTAATTACCTTGCATGTCCCACGGCTCCATTTTGTAGAGATCAATGTCTACGATGACATCTAAAGCGCTCTTCAACGAATCGATCTTCCTCTTTAGGTAATAACCAACGAGCTCTTCCTCCGTCGGATGAAATCTGAATCCAGGTGGCATACACCATCCCGTCATATTATCCATCGATCCTACGTGTACACACACACACACACACCGGAGATTATCATGTTAGAAAGATTTCAATGTCTATTAAAAATCCTGTATATTTGCCTCGGGAATTTATATATATATGTATGCATGGTGGCAACCTTAGACGAACATAGCACAACCTTTAAGATTTGTATTGTGCTTTGAGACCAAAATCAAAGCCTCTTGCAAGTTTCGCTTATTTAAAAGAGAAAAATAAATAAAAATCAAATACATATATGAAAGGGATCGATCGGATGACTCTTGGGTGGAATGAAATACCAAAAGCAGTGTTGGTAATGATAGTGACGTTGTACACGAACACAACTGAAAATATATTATATACATCTATATGTATAGTTAATATGCTTTCACATCTAACTTATATTTAGAGAGAGATATATAGAAATATATCCAAATCTTGGATCTTTATTTAGCTTAAGGCCATAGCTATAATATGTAGGTGATGACAGTTATGATGCAACTCTATTCGACCCAAAGAACTTTTTTTTTTAATAGAAAAAACCAATTAATATATTTGGCAACCCCAACAAAAGTTTTTGTTTATGGAACTAATTTGGAGTTGCAAAAATGACGATTCAAGATCTATACAGGATCCACCATATACATATATAAGTATATATCAAAACATAAAGTATTTTTTAGATAGGACCAAAAAACAAATCTATACTAGACTAAGACCAGGATGTACTTACTACATGTGCCACTCTTATGTAACATTGAATGATATTGTTTGGTGGGTTTGGTTAAACTGCAATTTGCAAAGTCTTGTGCATACAAAACATCCATATATATATGTATATGTGTGTGTACGTGTGTATATATATATATATGTATATGTATATAAACAAAGGTAGCCGAAAAGCTTGACTATATTTGGCTGGCAGTCGCTGTGGTTTGATGTTCCTTTGAGTGGATTACACACTCTCATGCTGTTTTTCCACAGTAACGTATCATTTGTATTAATGGTGCAACATTAGCATTTGAACCCCCCACGAATCTCTGTAAACATAACTAGGGCATTTAAAACTGGAGGGGGGAAAAAATAATAGACGAATTCGTTTATGTAAAACTAAGAAATTCCAGGGATTGCGACATTAATACGGAAAAGCTTAAGTTTTTCTCTAAATACGATATGCAATACGCGAACAGCCGATTCGTTATATGTGGTTTATGCCGAAGGCTATATTATGCATGAGTGCCCATGTATATATACACACACTCACACACGCATAAGCTGCAACATGATGAGAGCAATCTCATGGGTATGTATATAATACACGCATATATATAACGAAAACCATATATCTATATATCAATCGGGTTGTGTATAGATAAAACCCAATATACTCACAAGAAAATGAACGTCCGCTGCAGAGGAGTCTCCAGGGAGATCGATTTTTAGGAGAGAAAGAAGACGAAGAAAAGAGGGAAGAGAATGTAAGAGACCTTAGGCGTGGATTGGGGGAGTGGCAATTAATATACCAAGAGAAGGATGAGCTTTATAATCATAACACAGGACCATCTAGAAATCTCATACCATATATTATAATATTATTTTATACACGGCCATATATATATATATATATGTATAAGAGAGGAGGAGTGCGCGTGGGGGGTGGCGAGATAGAGATCTACGGCTTGTGTTGGACGGCGTGACTCTTAATTTTTCACGCCATCTCTCTCTCTCTCTCTCTCACCGCAGTTTTTTGTTTCAAGATTTTCCCAGCTCTAATCATATTCTATTTATTTATTTATTATTGTTAATTTATGTCGTCTTATCGTTAGTTTAGATTCGAAAAATAGAAACAATGTATTACATCAAAGTTTTATGAATTCTTTTGTTGGTGAGTTATATATATATATATGTTGGAACATATCTTTTTTTCATACTAAACAAGTAATAAGTGGTAGCAAGAAGTATAAGATGCATGTCATATAATACAAGTACAGTAAATTTTACTCAATGTATTACCAAAAATCGATTTAACAACAGAGAAACAATGTCAGAAATACAATATTTTTATGTGTAGAACCACCCCATCAGACCACTAAACATGACGACAAGTCATTTGTATATTCATTTCTTCATACTTTGTATATATACAACGAGAGTGAGACTGAGAGGCATTAATAGATCCGTAACTGTCACATTCTCTGCCCCAGCAATCCAGCTCCCGTTGTCTGGTTGGTGGCGCCGCCCCTGCCAGTTGGCGTTACTGGATTTCGACACGTGGATGCCACGTAAGAAACATGTGAACTGTCCTAATCGAATAACTAATGATTTGTACCAAACAGTTGCAACCTGGTGGTGGTGGTGGTGGAGCCGTCGGCTGTCTCTTCCCTTGCCTCTTTCGGCGACGTGTCCCCCTCCTCTCGGTTTACTCCGATGATGTTCCATTTTCCTACAAAAAAAAATGTGCTCTAATTTTTTTTTTATACCACTTACCACGAATTGTTTTTATTTTTTTGTCAACCCTCGTGGTTCAATTGGATAATACCATACCCGATCGCATTTGCAATTTTCAATTGTATTCTGCATGTTTCAAGTTAATAATTCTCTACACATTAAATAAGGGTATTTTGGACAAAACGAAATTGTGACATGTTGATAGATATTGCATGTTGCTCGGTGTATATATATAAATGGCAGACAATATTGGGAGTAATGTATAGGATTTCCGAATATACAATTCTGGCTTGAATATAGAACAGGAATACAGGAACTAACACGGAATTCAAGGGAACGGATAAATATTTAATATAATAAAGAGTGAATGGGGACAAAACCAAGATGGCAAAGCAATTATGGATGTGAAACACATGAATAGAATTGGATTGAGGAGTGAGAACATTAGTGCATGCCGAAAAGAAAGTTCCCTTTTTTCTCAAATATTTATTTTAATGAGTTACAGTAATTATTTTCAACTTAAAATTCAAATGAAAAAAAAAACAGTTTTCTGAGTACCGGTTAACATTATTAAATTTAGGTTTTATTAACTTCAAACATCAAACGACAAGAGACATGTTTTCCATCGGAATCCGTGATGTGTACAAATCAGGGAAGATATTATATAGATAGTTAATAAGGTTTATTTTACCGTCCACCAGCTTATCTAATATCTATATATATTGTAACTTATTATGAAAAAAATTCCCCCGCCATTCCGTTATTTTTTTTCCGGTTTTAAGTTCTACAGTTGAATAACATCAATTGAATTCAAAATTTTATTACCATATCAAATTAGTTGAATAACGGTAAATCTTTTTTTTGGTTAAAGGTTAATCTTATATATATAATATTTTTTCAATGACATCTCGGAATACCGAGATCATAGTTCACAATAACAAATCTAAAGAAAAATTTAGAGAGTAACAAATCTTTTCTTAATTATAATTAACTGGCTATCGTATATATTATGCAAGTGATTGTGTATGTATATCTTGTGTGAATCTATCAAAACTTTTGTTGATTTTGTGTGAGTTATAATACATTGAACAATAACAAAGGGGGGATATTTTTCACTAAATGGGCACATCTCATTAAATGGGTAAATCATGAGGCTAATCTGATAAAATCATCACGATCTGATGCGATCGACCGACCCTTCACTTTCTTTCCCAATTTATATTTATTTTTTTCCATATGAATTTGAGTCCAATTTCTCGGACTGCTCATCAAACCACCAACACACAATATAGTACTATAAAAACATGACCACAACCTCTTCCCATTGGTCGTATTTCTCCTTCGAGGTTTCATTAGCTGCGGGTTTTTAAATTCCATGTGGATCACTAATCATTTCCTTCCTATAAAGTTACCCATCAAAATGCTACAGAAATTAAACAAGACTATACATAATTAATTAAATAATTACTATTAATACAAAAGATAGTTTTTTTTTTCTGCAGATTTAATAAGAGGTTTAGATAAAGATTTTTATGGTGGCAAAAAAATTAAATTTTTTTTCTTGGCTGAAAGTCGATTAGAATAATGGTTGAAATATTATTATATTTCTCTTAATTGCCATAAAATACGAATAAAACTAACGAAAGATTCCGACAAAAGAAAGCATACGGATTGGCATGACTGAAAGAGTTAGCTTAGGATCTCGTGATAGATTCTCTCCTAACTAAACTTTGAAAACGACTTGTCTCTGTTCTCTAGAAGCGACATTCTATCTGTCTATTTATTTCTTCATTTTAAAATAAAATATTTTATTCCCGCTCCCTACATTTATTGATTTTTTCTTTGCTGTATATATTAATTAAACTATTCGGAGGTTGTTATTGAAAGCAAAATGGATAAACTTTAATACTGTTTAAAAATACAAATCTAGTTATGTATTACGAAAACCGGATTATAATATACTGATTTTTGTGACGAATGCCTTGACTTATGTTGAAATGATTTCGAGATCCTATCAACCTATAATCTTTTAAAAAAACTATCTTATTTGCGTGTTCTTAGAAAGCAAAACTTCAAACTCATAAAATACAATTCAAATCATATATAATCGAACCCTAGACGGGGGAAGAAGCGTATAATTCAAATCACATGGCTGGTTCTCGGCCCCGGGATTAGTCTGGGCCTCGGCTTAGAAAACCCGGTTACAAAAAAAAAATCATATATAATCGATGAAAATAAAATTTGAATGCTATGATATATATGGCTAACGCGGAAGAGAATGAAAAGACGAGAAATGCGAGGATTGATCATCATATTCGCATATATATATCATCAAGAGGATGTATCCGTTCAATTGCATGCAATCAACGTTGATGATTTTTCAGAAGGCCGAAAATTTTTCAAAAGAAAAAACAGTAGTGATTGAGAATCAACCAGTGGGATGATTTTGTTTTCTAATTATTTTTTCCGCCCTCAACTATAATGGCAAATTACGCATCATGTTTACTCTATTGCTCTCTCTCTCTCTCTTTTTTTTCCCCACCAATAGCAACAATTATGTGGTCATGCACCATTATGCAAATACTTCAAGATATTTTTCAAACTATTTTATTTTTAATGTTCTTGTCCAATAGACGCACAATATCATAAGGAGGGACGAGCGAATGATTAGGAGTTGATCCTGTGTATCAATAGTATTAACTAAATTAAATCATGTATCATAATGATATGCTCATAAGATATATATATGTCCACACTTACCCGTGAGATGTTCTTGATAGATTATCACATATATATATATGCATCCATCCATTTCAGTTTTGTCTTCACACACACACACACACACACATATACATACAATAAATTGTCACATATGTAAGCATCGATCGGTTTCAATTTTGGCTTCATGAGAGATATTATATATATGTGTCTAACCTATGATGAAAGGAATGCTCTTTCTAGGTTTTATAAAACGCAAGAAGAACTGTACTAGTCCGCATGATCTGATATCCTACTGCTTAGATATCTTTTTCTTCATTGGGATTAAGTTTGATATGTAAATGATCATTAATAAAAAAGTGTGATTAGCCGCAATTAATGATGGGCGGTGGATGAAGGTCGACCACTAATTACCCAAATGACCCCTACACCTCCTCTATTTGTCTCCCTATCCAACGTCGACCTTGCCAATATAAACTAAAAGCATCCAAAAAATCCATCCCCTAAATGTTTTAATCAAAGTTTGTACTTTGTTGATGTTTAGTTTTATTTTTTACCACAAAAATATAATTTATTTTAATCGATTTTTTTAATCTTTAAGGAATTAGGTTATCAATTAGATAATTTCTGTTGGAGTGTAATATTTTTTTTTATATATACGTAAACCTTTTTAGCTCCCTTGTATAGAAGCAGTGGAGACAAAGCAAGTGGGTACCGAATTTATTTGGGGCGGTTTGTGGGACTCTTCTTGGTTTCTTAGAGAGATTGCGTCTCTCTTTGAATAAATAAACATTTTAAAATAATAGTGATATATAATATTGTTAATTTTTTTACTTTCTCGCATTTGTTTAGATATACCCTTCTTAAAAAATTCAAATTTTCCATTTCTTTTTGTACCTTTTTGAGTAAAATCAACGACAACATAAATCCAAATGAGCCCTTCCAACCTTTTCCCTTTATCCATATATATATATATATATATATCATTTCTGGGTGTATCGTTCAAGTATGTGGATTTAAAGTGTATATATATGTATATATGTATAGATAAGTGCGGTCTTGTGTATATATGTATGTATATGTAGAAATGAAATTCAATCAAGAGATAAACTTAATTAATAAGATGTATTAGAAAAATAATTATATATTGGGATCAACGGATCCCAGGACTTGGATATTTTGTAACCGATAATTTACCTGCCAAACACAAAAAAAAAAAAAAAAAAAAAGCCGGTTGGAAATGGTATCAAAATTCACGAACTCGTACCAAATTTACGCACGAACTAAAGGATAAAAATCGATCCATTATTCAGTTTAAGGTTTGACACTTTAATAACGGTAAATTAAATTTGACAGTTTGCCCAACTATCATCCCAACGGAACCAAAAAGAGGGAGGGATGGATGATGAGATGAGCAAAAGGCTTCTAGAGATGGGGATGAAGCAGAGGCTGATGATGACATGTCCGCCCAATTTGTCTCTTTTGATCCCATTGCTTGTGAGACACTTGTGACTTCCTTTTTTTTTTTTTGTGTTTGTCTTTTCGATGACTTGTGGGTGGGGACTCTTGTCTTTCTTGAAGGGAAAGTACATCTTTTTAATTTATATTTTCTTTGAATTAATTAACGAAATAGGACAAACAGTTTCCTCTTTATTTAGCAAAATACAATTTTATAAAAACTAAATTTGGAAGTGTTATTAGGATTGGATGATAAATAGAAATTATGAAAAGGTGCAAAAAGGTTAATCCCTTTTTTTGTCCTTTTTCTTGAATCATATTCCAACACCATCTGAATGCAAATAAATCGGTTTCAGAAGGGAAAAAAATTGTAATGCTGTGAAAAAAATAAAATAAAATTTAGATACACAAACAACACCCAAACTTTTCAATTTTTATTCTTTTTTTTTAAATTCAAGTTTTTTAATTGATTTAGATTCAAGAGAGAAAAAAAAAAGTATTTATATACTGTTTGACATGATTTTGATATTATTTTTTTAATTCTGATTTGTCTCCAAATGCCCAAAGAAAAGCGATAGAAACCCATGAATCACAAGAAGCCTATATATATATATAATATAAATATTGGGTTGTGTCTGAATAGCATTCCCCATATGAAAACTGCTCGTATCGGCCCAACAATAGTAATCTTATCAATGGAACATAAAACTAAATTAGGCATTACATAAACGGGGGCTTACAAAGAAGGCCCAGAACCATTGAAAACATTGTTAATGGACATTAAATAGGAAAATGGGCTAAAACGAAGAGGGAAGAGTGTTGGGGTTTGAGAATAAAAATGGGATGACTGTTTCAGTAAAAGCGTTTGAGAGAATCCATGAGAGCATCAGTGTGTTGGGGTTTGCCGGCAGAAACACGAACATAACCCTTCAGTTCTTTGCTGTTGTAATGTCGAATCATCACTCCCATTTTCGCCAGATCCTCCTGTAATATATTCTCCAACATTAAAAGTTATCACCTTCCAAAGGATGAGGAACAAGCCTCTATCTTTTTTCTTTAGAGAGAGAGAGAGAGAGAGAGAGAGAGAGAGAGAGAGAGAGAGAAAGAGAAACCCAACCTTGAGCTGCTTGGCGTCCATGCCAGAAGTAACCTCACAGAGGATGAAATTGGAGTGGGATGGGAATGGGGAGAGGAAAGGAACCTCTTTCAGTAGTTGGAATAGCCGTTCTCGTTCCCGCACCAGCGCATCTCTCACATCCTATGTTGCATTAAAACAAAACCAAGAATTCATACATACGGATTAGTACCATCACACGAGAGAGAGAGAGAGACAGAACCTCCAAGTAGGTGGGGTTGGAGAGAGCGGCAAGAGCAGCAACTTCCCCAGCAACTGATACGTTGTATGGCTGTTTTGCTCTCCACATGTACTCTATTATGCTCTGAGGAAACGCTCCATATCCCACACGCAGCCCCGCCAGTCCTGCACTTGTTTTAACCTTATTCATTCAGACCCACATTATACCTGTCACAAATACAGTCCATATCCATTTACAATACCAGCTCTCTTGCTAAATGTCCGGAGAACGATCAGATTATCGTGCTTTTTCACCCATTTCATCTTTGATTCAAGCCCTGAGAATTCAATGTATGCCTCGTCCAGAACAACCAGTATCGGCATCTCTAGGATCTTCAATAGATCTTCGTCACTGATGATACTGCCCAGTTGATCCCAAAACAAAAAAGATGACAAGAGAAGTCCGTAAGTCACAAAAACTAAGAATAACCGCATAAATCTACACGAACGAGTGAATGACAAGAACATCTCTTTCTCCGAAATGGGCAGCCTACCTTCCATCTGGATTGTTAGGAGAAGTCAGGAAAATGCATTTCGGCTTTTCTAACTCCACAGCTTCAGCAATGCCATTCACGTTCAAGCTGAAATCCGGGTTTCTCGGAACTGAAGAGCAAAGATAAGTGCCGAATATTAGACAGACAAGAAAACTGAAGATTTGACAAGAGCCATGAGAGATCTCACGTAAATCTTCACCTTTTATGACACCTGCTCCATTAACAGCGGCATCAAACACATACATTGAGAAGGTCGGAGGACAATCTATGATCTTCTCCCCAGGATCCAGCACACATCTGTGAAAGCCGTGTTTTTTTTCCGGTGAAAATTTGACAAAGACAATCAATCTGGCTTAACAGTCTCGCATTACTAAAAACTTTCAAGCCAGACCTCATTATCAAATCGATAAGTTCGTCACAGCCACAGCCCACGAGAATGTAATCAGACTCCAGACCAGAGTCTTCAGCAAGAGCCTCACGAAGTCTTCGACTTTCTGGGTCAGGATAGACGTATGGGAACTTCATATTTCCCAATGCTTCAAAAACCTATAAAGAGAATCTGAAACTCCAACTCAGGTATTGAAATAGATTTTGTTTAATCATTCCAATAACGCAACACGAGAAACATGACCGTGTAGATTGAGAGTCAGCTGTACAACTTGCCTCAGGAGGTGGACCATATGGGTTCTCATTGGCGTCTAACTTGACGATATCCTCAGGTTTTCTTCCTAGCTGAGCAGACAACACCTGATGGGTACAACAATATCATTTCCCCTTTATAGGACAAATCCATTCATCTAATAAAACTTTAGAGAATTCACTAGCAAAAAAGGGTAAAGAAAAATGTTCTGAAGTGATATCAAATCAGGTTTTATGCTAAATCAGGAGAATGAATCACCCATGAGACTGGGTGAAAAAGAAAGATCAAACCCAAAAAATATCAAACAAAATCAACTCACAGCATCATTGCTACAAGCATCCTACCAGTGCTCATTGGCATCAAAGCCAGGTTTTATGATGAATCACCAAACCAGTTGACTGACAACGAGTTCATCAAAATCACCCCAAATCACTAAGACGAAGCAAGATTGAATCACCTCAAAGGGCAAAATGGGTTGATAAGCGGACAATTGCCTAAGATGAGGACGGATAAAAGAGTCCCCCATAACCCTCTTCCTGGGCTCGTCCACTGCTGCAGTTGAGGCCTGAACACACTTCACCCTTCCCACTGACCAATTGGGTTTCTTCAAAGACTGAAACTTTCGAAGATTGGCCTCCGAAACAGCAAAGCAGGCCGATGGAGCTCCCTGAATTTCGATCACACCCATCCAGCGACTCGGAAGCAGTTCAATCTATCGGACAAAAGCGCGACCACTATTAAGTCAACCGCAAATCCAATTCAATCGATGAACTCAAGAAGAGGAGTGTAATCCTACCTGAAAGGTTGAAACTTGACCAGGATTCGCAGACGTGACGCAGAAGATGAGCAAATGGAGTGGAAGAGGGGAAAAAACCTAAAGTGACCTGGGTCGGCGACGGCGAATGTGAAGCAGACAAAAAAAAAATAACGTTTTTTAGGATCCACTTACAATTCCTGGCAAGTTTGGAAACTTTAATTTAAAGTGCGAGAAAAATGGGTTATTTAAAAACTGGATGGAGACTTGTCAAGATGATGTAATATACAAATGTTCAGACATTTTTTTTGGCACAAATTTGTAGGAACCAACACTTCAACTATTTACTTCTGAAAATTTCAGAGCACCAATATTACACATTCAGACGCAGATCCAATTGATAGAAACGACTTCTCTCTCCACTCATCCGCTCTATTATTTTCACATTATGTGGTGCCACTGCCACTGACTTGGGAGAACATTCTAGACTGCAGCACAAACCCAATTCAATACAAAGAGGAGAGTTGAAGAATTTGTACCGAAACAGATAAAAGAACACCACTATTGATGCATAAAATTGCACGTCTTTGGACCAACCAGACACGTTCTTTCAAGATATTTCCAAGCATAACCCATTCACATTTGGAACACATACCATTGTAATAGTGGCGCTGTGCCAGAGTTCAAGCTTCTTTGACATGCTAATGATGATCTCATACGGCCTTGTGAATTCTTCCGTCTGCTTGAGCTATGCGCATGTACAAACCCGGCTCCATGGCCATGGTTACAAGGTCTCTGGCTCACACTTACTGCAAAAAACCAGGGAAAAAAGCCCTTAAGGTGACCACACTACGTCTTGCCGTCTGAGGGGAATGCCCTCTGCTTCAAACTCGTCTTCATCCGTATGCTTGCTTAGACGCAATGGCGACATTCCTGATGAACCTGCAAGAAGATAACAAAACAATATGCCAGTGATCTGTACAACAAAAAGGGTAAAACGTGACAGCAATCTGACAATTGGTAGTGTAGATAACACATGAAATTCTAGCATCGTGAAGATGCCCATGAAGTTTAAGGAAAAAATAGGTTGCTGGGTTCTTTGTACCAAAAAGTCTAAGAAAACTTGAGATTTCTATTGTTATTATCCAATATGATCCTGCTAACTGTTTCATCATATATAAAGGAGCTCCATTTGACGAGAGCAGGAGGGATCTCATGAAAGAAAGGAATGAGGAGTGTGTGTGTGTGTGTGTGTGTTGTAGCATTAGAGCCTGTGTATTCAGGTAATCTCTTGGAGTTAAGGAACTAACTGACCTTCAGCCATGTCCTTAGTCCTGTGGAGAAGAAAAGTGCCAGAAAGTATCGTAACAAATCCACACATTTCAGTGACGATCTGAGTACCATTTTGCCGATCCCAGTCCTGCACCAAAAAAAAAACATAGCATATGATGCTCTAAACTGTGAATTGTTGTTGATACAGATTGCGTTTCTGTGAGAAAACTACCTTAAACATGATGACACTTGCCAAAATGGTTAATGATGTGAACATCACGTAGTATATGGGAGACACCACAGCCGTATTAAATGTATCAAGCGCCTGCAAGGGAAAGGGAAAACAAAATACATTTCCATTATGCCAAACAACAATCTATACGGTTGGAATCCTCGACATAAGTCTTATCAGATATTACCTTATTTAAGTAGTTCATCTGAGTTATCACGCAAGTAAGCACGATCAAGGTGAATATCCATGTTTGAGGATAAACTAACTGATTCATGCCAGAAAATGTCAGCTTCAGGGCTATTCCGAGCGCTTTTACACTCATAACCTGTTCACACGCGGGAAATAGGTGGAGGTCTTTAAGAAGAATGACTAGGTAAGATTTTAGTAAGGTAAAATAAAAATCAGAGTAACAGATTCCGGAAATAATAAAATACATACCGATAACGACCCCACAAGCGAGCAAATCCCAATATAGACCATGACATGCGTCTGCCCGTATTGCGGCACAAATCGGACAACAAGTACTATAGCAGCTGCTATGATCAGAGCTGCATAGCACAAAAATGCTGCAACAAAGCTAGAGGAATTTACCAATGTGAATAGAAGAGGAAAACAAATACTGACTAGGCTTGATATCGTATCAGAGTCCCACCAGGTTCTGTAGCAAGATTCCAAACTTCGATGACAGAATCAATCTCACGTTCTTGAGGGGCATGCAGGACAATTGTGGTGGAGCCGACAACACACAAGGCACAGCCAAGAACTCCAAAGATGTGTAGTCTTTCCCGTAGTATAACATGAGCTAAGGCAGCACTGAGATTTTGGAGAAGAGAGATTACTGTTTAATAAACACTGACTGCAGGATTCGGGAAAATCTTATCAGATTACAATCTTGCCTGATAATGATACTGAGGGCGCCTAGAGGAGTGACGAGTATGGCAGGTGCAAATGCATAAGCAGCAAAATTGGCAATTTCACCGACAACCACTGGAAGAAGAGAGATCAAGTAAACTATACAAAACATTAGAAGAACATTCAGAAGCCAAAGCCTATGAACTATAAACTCACTCGTGATCATGCCGATCCACCAAAGAGGCTCGTACAGATAAGAGTACCCTCCAACACCTAAGAAACGCATCAAACTCGTTACATTAACATTCCAGTTGCCCACGCCGCAAAGAACATTATTGATCAAGCTAATTGGATTATGATAAGAGGAAACGATAAGCGGAAACCATCTTCTCTGCTCTCTCCAAGCCACTTTATCAACATACAATTACAAACACGTAAATTCACAAACTAAGACACGATTCAGGAGATGATTATGACTCCCAACGGAACGGAGATCCGAAGACGAGAAAGAGAGATACCTGCCCTAATCCCAGAGGTGGCAGCTTTCTTCAAGCCTTTCTTCTTGACGATGAAACTGGCACCGATGAAGAAACTCGAAGACAGAGCCAACACCAATCCCTTGATGTTATCAGATGACATCCCTTTATAAAATTCCATCGGAACTCCGCCCGAAGACGCCATTATCGCGGGGACACCGATCGACTCAGTTCACGCCCCGAAGAAAGACCTAAATCGCGCCGAATCGCACTTCTGACGAAATCGGATCGGAGAAGACGCCCAACAACCACCCAGCAGAGATTTGCTTATCCACTTGTTGGGTGGGACTGAAATCGAAATGCTCAGCAGAGACAGCGAGAATCGAGATTAGAGTTGAAGGGAAATGGAGAAGATTTAGGGATTTTGGGAACAAAGGATTTGATATCATCAGAGCCACAGCGAGAGAGAGAGGAAGAAACGAAGCAAGAAAAACTCCGACTGACCCCACGATTCCGGCGCCACCGGAAAACCCTTTTTTGTTCTCATCTTAATAATAATAAAACATATGGATATCGTTGTGGATATCTCGGAACACGTGTTTGGGGCGTTCTACTTGTACGCATGTATACATTTACATTCTAAAAAAACACGTGTTTGATTACATCTCATTTCGGTAGAAAAAACAGCGTAAAAAGCTCAAATGGGTCTGGGAGTGGGAGATTAACCAATACAAAGGGTGAATGGAAACGTTTTGTAATTTCGTGACAACAGAAAAACAAGAGAGAGGAGACATTAGCAGCACAGTCATCGTTTCTTAGCTTTGAGAGAGAGGCCTTTGTAGAGCCGAACACGGTCCTTCAAAGCATCTCTCCTGGGCCGAGCCACCTTGTTGTTTGGATCAAACAAGAGGACCTCCTCGAAGGCCATCAATGCCGATTTCAGGTCCTTCTTCTTCTCGTACGCGTCCCCCAGGTTGTTCCATGCCGTGACATACCCCGGCTGCAGCTTCACCGCCCTCTCAAACTGCTCGATTCCTTTCTCCAGCTTCTCTTCTCGGACATAGCTCACTCCCAGTGCGTTGTAGACCTGCCCCCCAGTCACATTATGTTCAATTACATTTGGACCCCCAATACGATTTTTGGTTATTCAAGATTCGGAATATCGTGAACCTGCGCAAGGTCTTGGTCGTCGCCATCCCACTTGCCAATGGCCTGAAGCAGGTACTTAGTGGCTGCCGGATAAAACTTCCTCCTCAGCATCACCGCCCCCAACTCAAAGAGCTCTGTCGCACTAGCATCCCCGCTCCTTACTTGTTCCTTTTTTGTTTTTTGTTTTTTTCAGACACCCGAATAGAGATAGTTGATAAGATCATGGTGTCTGTCTAGAGTGATCATATACATGCATTATATATATGCAATTCAGTTGTGGTACCTGCAACTCTTTAGCAGAAAGGTCAAGTTCTCTGCGCACTAGCACTTGACGGATAACGAAGAAGGTGCCAACTCCAAGCAAAGCCAGCAGTAACAACAGGTAGGAGAGCTGAATACCGAGTTCAAACAACTCTCCAATCTCGTAAACAGGTTCGGGTTTCAAGATTTCCGTTGCAGCTGCTGGCAGTGACTGTACAGAAAGCATCAGAACGCTCTGACCCAGCAGCATGGCAGATCCTTTGACGGGTAGCCTCTTCGCAAGTGACATATTTTTCAACACTGGTGAAATCCTCGCAGATTCTGCAAACCACACGGTCATATAAGCATCCACCCAAGATGTTGATTATAAGAGTACGACGAATGAGAGAACAAACAAATGCTGAACCATCCTCATTTATGTACATCAATCAGCATTTGAAACTAAACTTTGCAAAGCATCTTCTAACGGAATGATGCGTTCAGTATGACAAAGACAGATGCAAAACGTCCTAAAACCTCTCAACTATCCGAGCGAAATGCTTCAAAACAAGCAAGCGAATAGATATAGGAAGAGCGAGGTTGAAGCTAAACCTAAACCAGTGAGGAGGAGAGGAAATACCATCAAGAAAAGAGGGAGGAAAAGCTCGAAATGCTGGAGTCCTTCCGAGTATCTGCCTTCATCCACAAGTGTGAATGCAAAAGGAGAATTAGCAGGTTCTCCATAATGTCACAAAGATTCTAGCAAAATTCAGAAGCTTTTACGCCATAGCATCATCCTCCAGAATAAAGAGCGGCAGATTTGCTGAGTTATGGGAGTACCCACTTTCCATTTTCAATCAAATTCTGTGGTAGTAATCACAGCATCAGACAAGACGAAATATATGTTCCATCTCATCATTCCCCTAAAACCCGAAACCCAAGGATTTTCTCATCAAACCCTCGTCCGCAATTCTAGCAAATTCCGAGGCTTAGAAACAGATATATATACCAAATTCTCCCACACAAGTGCGATGAAAAGCCCCAAGTATTTAGAACCACCATAACCAGAACATGGAAAACGAAGCGTGAATCAATGGAGCGGAGAGGAAAGCGGTGGGTTTACCTGAAGAGAAATCTTCCTGCGGGTGAAGTTGAGAGAGGCGGAAGGCAGAATGAGAGAATGGTGGAGAAAGAGGCGGTGGTGAATCGGCGGAGAAGAAGAAGAAGAAGAAACCGTCTGGAGAAACATTTTCGATTCGATCATTTGATCTCCGACTCTCCCCTCTTTGGCTGAAATCTCACATACAAGAGCTCAGTCTTCGAAAGATAAACTGATGCAAAAGAAGATAAGGCCCCCCTCTCCTCTCCTGCTCTTTTTTTTTTTCAAAAACAAATTATTTTACCTTCCAATATTTTTTTATATAAGAACGAACCTGAAAATAACTTTCACACCTACAAAAAAAAAACAAACTTAAAATTATTTATAAAAAATTAACTATTAATTTTGAATAAAAAAACCATAAACTATATAAATTATTTAAAATCAAATTTTCACTTTAAATTTGTTATAAAAATTATCAACTATCAATTTTAATAAAAACAATCATCATCTATTCATTAAATTTTAAAATTCAACCTTTAAAAAAATTAAAATTCAACCTTGTTTTCAACGAGTCCGTACAAAATCTTATAGTTTAATACCTGAAATTATCATAGATTTTTTTTTTTTATATATAAACTCTATATAAGATGCTTTCAGATACAGATCATTGTTTGAAACAGAATCCATAACTTCATTCCCCCTTTGTCTAATCCACATGGACCGACATTCCCTCAGGGGCCATATAAAAAAGCCTTAATAGAGGAAGACGGTGCCGGCCTGAACCACGATGGGCCGTGGATTGGGCCATATAAGTGAGGCCCATGAGAAATTGTGTCTTCTGTTTTGACATAAAAAGACCGGCCCAAGTGGGCACACCATGATGATTTTCTTGATAACTAGAGAAAAATAGTTGTAGCAGGAGAATGGCATGCAATCCTATTAGAAGCCTTTCAAGATTATTGCCAAATTTTCGAAATCATTACTACCAACGAAATGTCGTCTCTTGGAAAAGTGAGAAAGGTTGCAGAGATGTCAGTCGTCTTGAGAAAACTGATGGAAGATGTTCATTACCAACGATGACTCTATCCCCATCATTCCTCTTCCCGTCCCCTCTGCTGCCAGAGGATCCAGTGTCGGGACAAAGAGTTCATCAACAGTAATGTCTCCGAGTTCCTGGAGCTTTTACAGTTGGTGTCCTATTTGGATATAGACAGTTTGCTAAGTTTGGAGACGCAAAAGTCAGCGGGTATGATCGAAGACGTGTCTGTGGAGGAGGGCCGTGGATTCTTCGATGTCGAGAACGATTAGATGCTCGAGGAAGAGAGGGCTCTTTGCGCTCGATATCTCTCGGCCTTCCAACCGTAAATGTTATTATCATTTAGTTGCAGTGTATTTTTTTTTATATATAAATAAAACCATCATCAGCTAATCGTACCATGGTGAGTACTCTAGTAGCTGTTACGCATTCAACAGTTCAGTCTCTAACATATTTATGGTTGGAACGTGAGAGGACAGAATGAACATCGAGCCCAAAAATAGAAAATGGGCCCACTGGAAGCCCAAGTGACCCCTGGAACCCAATAATAACCTCTGGATTGGACCAGAGGCTCTTTCTTATTCCTTTTTCTTCTTGTAAACTAAAGGAAAAAGCACAGGACTCGGTCGCGATATCAAGGGTTGAAAAAAAGGGGCAAATATACTTGAGATTACAGAGTAAAAACCAAAAAGGAGAGAGTAAGATACAGAAGAGAGGGGCCCAAGGAGATTATTCAATATCTTGGGGTGCCTGTCTGCTCAAAATACACAAAAGGTAAATTATTAATGGAAGCCCACGGCGACAGTTTTGTGAGAAGGCATGTCCGGAGGCGGAGACGGAAGGACTGTGAAGGCCAATACTCCGCTGCCCGCCGCCGCTATGGCTCCGACCACGAATCCCGGCAGGTTCCCTCCTCCGAACATCTCATCGAACGGCCCTCCTCCCAGCGATACCACCATCTGTTCTCCCACCATCAAAAAAAAAAAAACCAATTGTTGTTACAAACCCAAATTGTGTTTCTCAAGCGGCAATACGACAAACTTCCATCTGCCGTTTCTGTTTACCTGTGGGATGACAATCGCCAGATTCAATACTCCCAGAGACAGCCCTGTGTCCAAATTCAAACGATCCACGAATTGTTTTAAACAAAAAAAAGTTGGATTTTGAAATCTATAGATGCGAGGGATTTGATTTGCACACACTAAATGCATATAACTTTTTTCAGAGGGGCCCACACAACATCACACCTTCATTCACTCGTATAATAATAATTATAGGAGTGTACCTTGGCCAGCACCGGAGGAGCTGGAAAATATGGACGCCAGAGCAAATGGGATACTGAACGTAATCTGCATACCATTTCATGTAACCATTACTACACTCACGTCACTCTATTTATATGACAAAAAGAAGAAGCACCATATGACGTGGACTTACAGCTTGCGGGATACCCAGCACGGCGAAGATGGTCAGAGCTCCGGCCCTTACGTCGCCCGTAGGCGGAACATCTTCTCCGACGGCTCTCCGGTGAGCCTCCGCCTGCTTCGTCACGAGAACTGTCATCGCCAGACAGATGGCCAGTATGAAATTGACAACTCCCCACAGCCTCTTGGCTCCACCCATTTTCCGACCAACCCACTCCACTCCCAGAGACATGAACCCAAGCACGATGGCGTTCAGCATCAGCCCCAACGCCCCCATCCTCACTCCCGCGTTGTACAGCTTCTTGGACACTGCGTCTGCGTTTGCGTCCGAGTCTCCGCCGTATACCTCCCGCCCCATCCAGTCCGTGTCGAACAGAAGGAAAGGGAACCAAGCGATCCAGTTGAGCGCCGTCACGATGAGGAGCATCCACATCGGACGCTTCATCTCCTTCAGGGCACCGAATATTTCCCCGAAGAACGGAACGCTCGAGCCGCTCTCGCTCCCCGGCTCGGGAGACCATTGCTTGTCTTTGACGTACCAGAGCGAGCTCACCGTCACGAGCAGGAGCAGAGTTATGGACAGGAAGAAACAACTCTTCAGATTGGCGCAGTATACGTCGCAAGCATCCGTCGATGTGAAAGGGAATACCTTGTAGAGGTTTTTGTACGAACCGGCCGCGTAGCCCAGCACGTTTCCCACCGCCATGAAGAAGGAGAAAAACGCGTTTGCGGTCCGCGTTTTCCTCGCGTTCCCGGCGGAAAGATCGGCGAGGAACGCCCGGCATGGACCCTGGAGGGTGTTGTTGGCGACGTCGAGGATCCAGAACCCGAGCGCGAATATGGCGATGGCTCGGGTTTTGGGCGTTTTGACCTTGGAGTCGCCCATGCTCTGGCCGAGGTCGGCGGCGTAGCCGATAAGGAAGACGGCGACGGTGACGAGTGCGGTCCCGGCGGCGATGAACGGACGGCGACGGCCGAAGCGAGAGGTGCAGCGATCGCTGTGGTAGCCGACGATGGGCTGAACCAGCATGCCGGAGATGGGACCACACAGCCATATCAGTGACGACCATTTGTGTGGGATCCCCAGCAGCTGCACGTAGGGCGTCAGCAGAGACAGCTGTAATGCCCACCCGAACTGTACTCCGGCAGCGATCGAAGTATCTTCCGAAGCGGCGACGGCTCCATAAGCTCCGCCCCCTGAGTCTCGAGCGCCGCCGCGCCGTTCGCGGCCTTTACCGGCTGATCTCCGGCCATATTATAACTGCAATTCAATTAACTAGAGGAGAAGGAAAGAAAAGAACTTTGTGTGTCTGTACGTCTATGCGATATGTTTCGCCGGAGAAAATGGATGCGGCGGTGGTGATGGGGGAGGAGGAGAGGAGACGGGGGTATGTATTTATAGGGGAGTGGGAGGGGAGGAGGATCATCTTAACGATGGAAGAGAGTGTGATCGAAGGGGTAAGGTGGGGCCACGTGTCAGACGTACATCAACTCATGTTTTTTTATCCTTAGTTCGGGAACTTAATTCTGTTTCTTATTTCTCCCTTTTTATTTATTTCTTTCAATGAGGCCGACGTCTTCATTTTTTCTGATACTTTCCTTTTTTCCCCCTTTTATTAAATATATAAACTCTGGAAATATAAATAACAATATTATTTTAAAAATTATTTTGGGAAATTTAAGCTGAATAATGGGGTGATAGTAGATAGATATGAGATTTGCTATTATAGACAGAGGGGGGCTAACCAGGGAATAAAACTCTCGCCCAATCAAAGTTGGAATATCCACGTCAGCGCTACGTATGTATTATTACATTATATATTCTTTTAACAATAAAATCATAAATTGTCTATCTTAAAATCAGATATTAAACCTTTTTTATTCTCGTTAATTGTTATTTTCTCATTTAACCTCGATTTTTAGCATATAACGTGGCCCTATTCAAAGCATACATTTTTCTGTCAATAGAAACATATTAATTGTAAGAGTTGAAAGAAGAAAATTTTGGCAAACTGAGAAACTGCTTAAAAGGGAAAATAATTTACCTTAGTCTAACCTGTAATGTATATCCGTACATAAATCGCGGATCTTATCTTTTTCTTTGGTTGTGGACTGTTTTGCCTTTTTTAAAAAAAATAAATAAATTAAAATAAGATTATATTTGGATTTGTAAATGGTTCACATGATTATATTTCTAGCGTATTCTAAAGCGAGAGTATACCACGAGAGTTAAACAAATCCTTAAAAGGTTAGAAGTACAAATTACAATAATTCTGCATACGTAGGCGGTCAAACATGTAGAACAATAAATGTTTATTTTCTCAAAATACACTAACAAATAAACCGCAAGCTAATTAATCGGATGTGGACGGTCAAACATGTAGAACGCCAAATGATTTTTTTAAAATCAAAATACACTGTATCTATTTTAAAAAAGGGAACTTTGCAAAAAAAAAAATTACTTTCTTTTATTTTATCTTTTCTAATTTTATCTTATACTTTGGTAAGATATTACAATCACATGTCTCTTCTCTTTGTTGTTTCTTTCCCCTCAAGTGTCTCACCTAACTATGGTCGTGGAATTGTACATCATTAATAAATATGTTACGTAAAAAGGTTACATTTTTTTTCCTATATTTATTTCATTCCAAATATAATTGTTCAGTTGGATATGTAGCTTTAATTTTTAGCTTTGCTTGGATTTCTACGAATCCAAATCCGATGAATGTTTAATTATGCATTCATTATCCATGTTGACCCATACATGTAATTGAACCAAATATCGAAAAGATTGCCCAAAAACACAGAATTTTATGCGTGGGAATGGGAGTGGTTGCAAATGGATAAATACTGTATTAAATATATATACACTCCAATTCAAGTTTTTTTTAATGGATAAGAAAATAATATCGAAAAGCCACAAATGGTTATGCAATGGGAAAAGAAAATCAATCGCCAATATACATTATATGATGGCTTCAGTTCCCCCAAAAACAATTGGGTTTAAATGAATAGCAAGAAAATTACACCCACTAACAAAACCACTCCAAATAAAAAAAGAAAATCGAATTTTAAGTGAATAGTTCTGGTAATTGTCTCCCACAAAACAAAGTGGACATTAGATAAATGCAATCGATTATTGGCCCTCTTTATTTTTTGCATATATATACATATATATATACTGTGCTGATACATCGTGAGATGTAAAATGTGAAATGGCCACTTCAGTTTAAAAGAATAATGAAAAAAACAGTGTGTTTCTTTTTTTTCCAAAAGAATGGGGTCGGAGATTGGGACCCTAAAAGAAGCTTGCATTAGTTTTTTTAGATTGTGCTTCATCCCATCATTATGCACCCGTAGTTGAAAATGACTAAGCAACGTGTGTAATGCCCTTATTTTATTATTATTTTATTTTCCCCCTATTTTTGTTCATTGTAACCATATAATATAGCGAGAATAGTCAAAATAACAATCACGGGACCATAAATGCATTGCGTACGATTAAAATAATACAGATTAAAAAAATGAAAACATATATGATCCCGGAGGTGAGTATGATGGTGGTGCAAAATAGGCCAGAAATTCACTGACCCAAACATATATACATATATATATTATATATGTGAAATTGATACATTATATGAATCTATTATCTAATAATTACTATGATGATGTAATAAAAATAAAGAAAAGGGAATGGAGATTTGGGGGTGGTGACGCCATTGAGATCTCGGAGCATAAATGTCAAAAAGGTAAAGGGAAAGGAGGTTGTTGACCCATTGACTTATCCCTCTCTCTCTTGCAACACTCTTCAACGGTCACTCCCTCTCCATCTAATCTTATCTTATTCTAATTTCATTATTATTATATTCAATACATACCAATTTATTGTGGAAATAATTGGAGTTGATTTTGTATTTACACGCGTTTTTAATTTTATAAATTGACGTGTTTTTTTTTCCGGTTCATGACTTGACAAAATGTGAATAGAGTCGAGTTGTATCCTCTGTTGTTTTGCTCTTGTTGTTTTGTTCTGATTTCAACTCTTGTCGCAGATTCCTAAATGTTCTGTCTTCCTACGGTTACAGAATAATTGCGTGTTATTCAACATGTTTTATATATATTTTATTATGATGGTCGTATTAAATTATGTGGACAGTATTACGATTGCAAATTATATGGTTTTTACTGCGGTAGGTCAGAAGGAAAAAAAAACTACCAGATAATATTCGGTCACCAACAAAAGTCAGCGGGTGAAATAGTAAAATAAGATGTCGGAGTTGAATTCCACGTTGATTTGGTGAAATGAATTCTATGATACGATGACTCATCATGTCTCGAATTTTTTGCTTTGGAAACATTTTTATGGATTTAAGCATCCTTCTTTTCATAAAGTGTAGACTTTATCGCGGATCAATATATCTAATTTGGATAAAATTCATTTTATAATAATAATAAAAAAAAAGATTAATAAAGGAATCACCGAACTCCATCATCATATACTAACGGAAGGGGGGATGAAAAAAAAAACGAAACTAACTGTAATTAAAAAGCTTTGAAGAAAAGAAAGAAACGGAATGGTCGGTCGAGAAAGAATAATTAATTATCCGACGAGTGAAGTTCACGCGCCTCGAACTCCGGAGAGGTTAATGAATGAGAGAGAGACAGAGAGTAGACACCAAATGAAACTGCGACGAAAGAGAGAGAGAGGGGTCCCGGAGAAGAGAAAGAGACTTGATTCAGTTGACTTTTACACACCATAATGAACTCATGAGACGTCTCTCTCTCTCTCTCTCTCTCTCTCTCTCTCTCTCTCTCTCGGGCAAGTTGCATAGAGTAGACTCCAAGGGAGAGATAGGCAATGTCTGGTCCGATCATAATCTGAGACTTCTTTTCCACCGTCTCCGATCGATTCCGACAAAACCATCCATCCTTTGATGCATCTTCCTCCCCTCCCATTGGCCCTCCCTTCCCACACGCATATATATATATAACTCCAACATATATCTTGCTTCTATCCATACTTGAACATTTTGTCTAGTTGTGTGTTCGTAGGGGTGACCAATTTTGATTATAACCGGAGAATAAAATCGTTTCAGAGCTAATAACATATAATATAATATTGAATATTTATGATTTCTTTAGAATCGAAAAATCAAATTTAAACTAAAACTAAAAAAATCATGTAATATCCCGCGACTCTTACGGAATATCGAAACTTTACTTACACATTAACATGAGATCTTACAGTATATTTTTGTTCTCACTCACATGCATATCTCTATGACTAATACAACTATTTTTTTTAATGTTATCTTATACTATATAGTCTCATATTTATACAGTCATCGGATCTGTCTCATTCTGATGCATTCGACTCATTCATTTATCCTTCTGATTTTAATGGTATTCGAGGAACCGCTTTTTTTTCGTTATATATACACCCATGAACATTCTCAACCATCTTTATAAATTGGATGTCACAAATTATGTGTATATATATATATATAATGGAAATAATCTAATCCAATTTCAAGTCACACCGTGTGTTTGTATACTTTAATCTATGTATCCTACCATTACCATGATTAAGTTATATACTATTAAATCGATATGCGATCTCTATGTATGGGGAATTTTTGGACCTTCTTAGATAATTTATATCCATTACCCATATATATAATAAAATACTTGAATAAAATCATTTGATACTATAAATAATAGCGCATTTATAGAGTGATCATCCATTCTCCTAAAGTTGCAGTAATTAGACTCTATCACGCTATACCGTATAGGTTTCGCACCTTTTGTTCGAATATCAGAAAAATCACGAGGGTTATGTAAACATGCCAATTGATCTATAATTTAATAAGAAAACCATAAGGTAAGATGTTACAAAATTGGCCGTATCCTACACAATCATATGCCTATAGCCTTAACAGCCTACCTCTAAGATACTGCCAACAAAAATGTTATTATAATCTTTGGTGCCAACCATTTCAATAATCGTTTGAGCAAGAATCTCTCCTTTTTTTTTTAGTGAACAAATTCTAGATTCATCGAACCACCGTAAAAAAAAAATAATAATCGAATCGAGCATCCAAAGTCCAGTAAAAAATGAGTTCGAGCATTAACTAAGATATCAAATACGTGGTTAGAATAAAATCAAGTTGTTCATCTGATGTGCCAAGGGATAGGATGATGGCTCACGAGAGGGCGAGAGGGTTGCGTTTTGATATAAAGATTCAGACGAGAATATCTATACAACGTACCGACAAAAGTTGATTAACACAATTTGCTCGGAAAAGGACATAAATTGTTTGTCATTACAACTGGTTTGATCTTGTTCTCTTCTCGTGTCCCATCTTTGAAAAATTGAAA